AGAGTTACGGCCCTTAAGTTCCGATTAGAGGCCCGGGAGTTTTATCCCACTTCTAAACTGGACCTTTCAGCCTTCTCTTCACATCTTCCCTACTCCCTTCCTCTGCTCTTACATATCCCTGGACAAGAGCTTGAGGCGGAAGGGAACTGTGTACACCACCTTGAACTCCTTTGAAGAAAAGTGGATTATAAGATAGATAGATAGATGACGGACAATGATGATGGAGGAGAATCTCGTCCATTTACTACAGAGGTATACGTCCACTGCATCAGCATGTAATTCAAATGCAAGCAAAAGGTAAGGCAAACATCTCCACTCTGCCATCTGATCCCTCTCTCTCTTTTTCTGTAGCAGCTTGGAAGAGAGTTCCACTCCACCACTTTATTCCCTACAATCACAAAGCTCACTAGGGGAAAAATCTTAGAACTGTCCCACGAAAGATCCCAGATGCAATGTGTGCAAATAGCCTCTTATACGCAACATGGATTAGAGCCATTTAGAGGGAATGATTTGTAATTGAAAACCCCTGCCTTTGCAAAAGGGCTAGAGAAAGAGGAAGAGGAGGAATGCCAGAATGCTGACCTGCCCATGAAACTGAAGTTCCTTCACCATATCAGCAGAGGCAGGATTGCGTAAATGTTATGTGCATTGAGCTTAAATGACTTTAATCAAGGATGCTGGATAAATATTTTTGGGCACACCAAATATGAATGCCAAGTGCGTCCATACAGTTTGCAAAAGAGAGAGAGAAGATCTTGAAGACATGAAGCAATTTAGAGAAAATCCACAGGCGGGGAGGCTGTCAGGCCTGGCAACAAATGGTTCAAAAAGCTAAATGTGTCTGCATTAGCTGAGTGGTAGGCGAGGAAGACGTGGACTAGACTATAGGTATGAATACCAAAAAAGGGTGAGATGTTACAGATGGAGGAGGGAATTATACCTAGGAGAAATGAGAATAATGAAGTGAAAAACTGAGACACACACAAAAAGAGAGAGAAACTTGGGGTGAAAACTAGGAAAAATGTCTGGGATTTCAATGGAGTTGGTTGGGGGATTCTGAAAAGGGGAGGGGGAAGGATGGAATTTGATCTAGTCACACTTCATTGAGTTTTTAAAAGAACAGACTCTTTGGAGTGCCGTTAGTTTTTAATTTTCATTTCAGGGCAAAGAGAGTGGGGAGGGACACCAGCTGTTCGAAGCAGACATTTGCCACGTTTCAACAGAAACACCTCCCTTTCGGCTAAGGTGGAAACTAAAGGGAAACTTACAACTGGTCATATTTTGAGAACCTGATAGGGACACATTGCACACTTTTGTTTTTTAGGCATAAGGGTTGAACCTGCAATGTCTATACAAATCAATACACTCTACATTATTTCAGATGGCATGGCATTTTATTTTATCCTTGTGAAATTTTGTTTTTATGTGAAATTCTGAGAATGCCTTTTTGGTGTCGTTGATTAAGCAAGCAGCTTCTCAGGTGCAAGGCTGGAAAGGAAGTACGCAGCATGATGGTGTCCTGGCTCTTCACAGACTATGGGGAGAATAGGAAGGGAAGCCTTATCAGTACACTATTATTCCTCATAGAGTCTTACTCTTTATTATTTAGAGCACAGTAGTACTTCCGTTCTGGAAGTCCGTTCAACTTCTGAAACATTTGACTTCCAAAGCGTGGCTTCTGATTGGCTGCAGAAAGCTCCTGCAGCCAGTCGGAAGCTGCGGAAGCCCCGTCAGACATTCGGCTTCTGAAAGAATGTTCGAAAACCAGAACACTCACGTCTGGTTTTCGATCATTCGGGAGCCGGAACATTCGGGAGCTCCTGAGGCGTTCGGGAGCCGAGGTAGGACTGTATTTTAAATAAAATAAATAAAAACTATTCCATTTTGCCAAACCTCTGATCCATGTGTTGAATTCACAGCATATTGATCTCTCACTCACTCTCCGAAAGAGATTGTAGTGCATACATTAGTGCAGAGATTCAGGCTCTGGTCCCAGTCCAAACCAAAGTTGTTGGATCTAACTGCCATTAAAATGAATGGAACTTAGGTTGGCCACAAAGTAACTTATCCCATTTATTTCAGTGGCACTTAGACATAACCAGATTTCTGAGCACTGGGACCACTATATCCACATTGAAGCCCCATGTTTTCTGGGGAACACTAGAGCAGGGGTCGGCAACGTGCAGCCCGTGGCCAAGATGCAGCCCACGAAGACCGTTTTACTGGCCCATGAGCCGAACCAAGCCGCCCGCTCGGCGAGTCCCCCACGTGCTGTGCTAAACTGGCGCAGGACAGCGCGGGGACTTGCTGAGCGGTGCTGCAAATCGTGTCTACGCATGCACAGATACCAGAAATCGCAACTGCGCATGTCCAGATGCCGGAAATCACTTCTGCACAGGTGCGATTTTCAGCATCTGGGCATGCGCAGAAGCGATTTTCGGCGCTGCAAACATGAGCAGACACGATTTCCAGCATCGCGCTGTGCCAGTCCAGCCCACGGACAATCTCTGTGGGAGTGATCCAGCCCATGGCCGGTAAACCTTGGGATCACCAAATGAAATAGATAGATCAACATCTTATCTCATACTTAGCTATGCAATTCACTCATTCTGCCTTTATCCCTTGCCTTGCCTATGGATCACTCAGATCCATTTATTATTATAATATAATATTGTTATTAATGATAATAATACTGATTTTCAAACATATGAATTGCATTTATATCCCACCTTTCCCTCCAAGGACCTCAAGGTCACATACATGGCTCTACCCCTCCTCACTTAATACCACAACCACCCTGGGGGGTAGGTTGGGCTGAGAGGCAGGGACTGACCCTAGGCCCCCCAGTGAGTGGGGATTTAAATGCTGGTCTCCCAGGTCCTAGTACAACTACTCTAACCACTACATCACATGGCAGCATTCTGTGCATTAAAGAGTCTGGCAGGAACAGGAACCTGAGTTCAAGTTTTTCACCCGGCAGTGAGTTCCGGGACGCTTCACTCCCATGAAGATATTCCAAGCTGTATATCTGACTGCTGGCCACACAGTGAACCCAAGGCTCCCATTTCTTTCCCCAGCACAGATGACGGCTTATGTTAGCTGAGATGTTAGCTGAGATGGCTTTAAAAGGGAACCAGGCAAATTAGGAGGACAGACCTTGCAGAGGAGGCTGTTCCATTAGGGCAAATGCAGCCCTGTTCCACCCACTGCAGCCTACCTTCTGTCCTGGACCTTCACGGGATGCCCCTGCGTTTTAGTATTATGAGAGATCCACTTTGTCCACATCAGGCATAGTTTTATATAGCTCTGCAACTCCCACAGAATCATAGAATAATAGAGCTGGAAGGGACCCTGAGGGTCATCTAGTCCAACCCCCTGCAATGCAGGAATCACAACACTGATGACTGGCCATGCTGGCTGGGGCCAGCAGAGCCCCAGGTTCTCCATCTCTGCTCTAGATGTCTTCACATTCTGCTTCTAGGCCTTCCAGAAGCATCCGACTAGCCACAGTTGTATAAACAGGATAGTGGCTTAAGTGGACCCAGCAGGGCTCTTCCCACACAAGCCTGAGAAAGCCCCGCACGACTCTTGGGTGCTGCGCAAGTGCACTTACACTGCTCATTACAGAGAAGGAAATGATTCCCCTCTTGAGACCCACCTTTACCTCTGGCAAGCCTCAACACTTTCCCTCTAAGTTAGCGACTTTTTTATATATAAAAAAGTTTTGTTTGTTTTAATTATCCCCTTCCCTTCTCGTTTCAAATCCTATTGTATGTTTGTAGGTTCTAAGCAACCAGCAAGGACTTACTTGCCCTGGTTTTTCTTTGTAACTTGTACAACACCTGGCACAACTTCAAGCACTTGATCAGAAACACTACAAAACAAGACTTTCTTAACCAACCACCAGTCTCTATTCATTATTAATCACACAAGCTGAAAAATGTAAGCTCAAACTTCACATGCACCAAAGTGTCAGTCACAAGAAAGCAAGTTCTGCCTTAAATGAAAAAACAATAAAAATGTAACGACGAGGAAATGACCTAATGGACCAAAGCAGATTGACTTAATTTGTTATTAATTAACTGCCCCAAGCAGAATCCATAGGGGGAAACGACCCAACACTAGGATTCCAAATAACAGTTCTTTCCCCTTGATAAATTATATTAACCTCATGGAATGTTCCAAATAAAAGAAAAAACTCAGTGTTCTCTGGATGCCAGCGGGGGGCCTCAAAACATTACAGCTAATAAATTAAATTACTGCCCAATTGTATGAACTGGGAGGTCATGTCCTATATGGAGAAACACTATAGATTTCCCAGCATCAAAAGCTTGCTCATTTTCCTAGCTTTCTGATTTGGCTTTTGGGAAGTTCCTCTAGGGCCGCCTTCACCATCCTGATGCCCTCCAAAAGTTCTGAACTGCAACTTCCATCAGCCACAGGGAGCAGAGTCAAGCTGCCATGGGCTGATGGGAGTTGTGGTCCAAAACATCTGGAGTGTGTCAGGCTGGCAAAGTCTGAGCAATTGTATTGGTGGGGCAGAAACCAGAAGAATCTAGGAAGAGCCCTGCTGGATGAGGCCAATGGCCCATCGAGTCCAGCCTCCCACTCTCACTCTCAAGAAGGATCTTGACTGGCTGGGAGAGATGCCTTGGACTCTAGGGCTGCCCTGCTGTGCGGAACAAGCCCTTCTTGAGATGACCATGTTGTAAGATCCGGACTCTCTCCATCCAAATTCAGGTGAATAAATCCTATTTCTTAAAGCTTCAACAGCCCCTGCCGTGTCTTGATTCTCAAAGGCACACAGCCCCTGGGTGAGTGCCTGTACCCCCCTGGAATCTTGCTGCAGCTCAGCAGAGAGCGGGGGTGGCACCCAACTTTTGTAATGAAATTGTGCGGGTGGTTCTCACCCAGCCAAGCAATTACTACATTCTTTCAGTAGCTCTTAACAGTCCAATGAATCCCGCAAAGATCCTAAAAGCAAAGGGGGCACCACTTACATTTGTGTTGCAGAGTTTGTGCTGCTTATAGGCTCCAGTGCACACGATTGCCGAGGTCCTCTGAGTGGGAGTTTGGCTTTGAACTGCCCTGTGAGCAACAGGAACATGAGAGACCAGCTCTGTGCCATGGAACAAACTCTGAGATGCTGGAAAGGCCTGCAAGTGGGGCCCAGCCTGGGGGTAAACAGAGTCACTTGAAACCTGAGTCCTGGGTGGGGGCCTGGAGTCCTCTTGGTATAAGTTTCCATGGCGAGGCGAAGGGTTAAAAGGGTGAGCAAAAGGGCTCTGAACCGCTGCTGCCCATTGCTGGCTGGCTGTATTCCGGGTTGACTGCCGCTGCCTGCGTGGCTTGTTGGGCTCCTGCCCCGTGTCAGTCTGCAGAGGTAGGATATAGGGCACTTTTCCATAGCCATACTTCCCAGGTCCAATGCGGCTTTTATTTCTGCCTCTGAAGATAAGAGGGGCAGGGTGTGAACATGAACAGGTTAACTCAGCAACAATTGAAAACAAGCATGAATAGTTTCAAGGAGAAGTCCAGGTTAGGGGGGATGTCCTAGCATCCTAGCAGGATGTAATGAGGTTGCCAGTCCTGCTCACTCCCCCAGGTCATTGGCTCAGCTCAAAGTGGTGCACCCCAGAGGTTTCTGGAAGTCCCATCATCCCCATGTGGGCTGTGTCCGATGGAAACTGTAGTCTGGCAACATCTGGAGGGTACCATTTTGGCTGCCCCCAGCTTAGCTGGTGGAAGCAGCTGCCTATGGGAAGCCATCCACCATCTGGCCTTGTTCAAGGTGCTTGTGAGTAACTCTGTGTTGGGTATTCCAGGGTACTGTGGGGATCAAAATGGCTGGTAGCTTCCCACTGCAAGGAATCAGGTAGGTGGCCAGAAGATTTGCAGAAGAAGGGGGTTTTAGCCTAGGCTCTTGGGTCCAGCACCTGCCCCAGGAGAGCAAATGTTGCCGTCTCTCCAGTGCACTTTGAAACCTTTTAACAGCCTAGATGTCCAAGAAAGGACCAGTGCCCAAAACCCTGCCTCCACCACTGTTACATATCCCTGAAGACTTTGCTTCAACCATGGGACATTGTATTGCTTTAGGTTGCAATAAATTTCCTCCGTGTCAACGGTGGCAGCCAACATGGAGACCTCCAGATGTTGCTCCAGTTTCCAGCATCGCTGACCTACTGGCCTTGCTGTGGAGGACACCATGTGAGCTACTCCTGATTTAGAAGTCAAGAGGCTTTCGTTCTGCATGAAGATATATTTGGAGGGGAAACACTGTTGTACTACCATAAAATAAATAAACAGCAAATCCTACACACTGCTTGATTGCAGCAAAACCTCTAAGTGGTTTACATGAAATATTAAAATTATCAGCAAAAACAGATTTTAAAAAGTAATTAAAAACATTTAAAATTCAATTTATAAAAACTTAAAAGCAGCCTGCTGCATCAGGCCAGTGGCCCCTCTAGTCCAGCATCCGGTTCTCACAATGGCCAACAGATGCCTGTGGGAAACCAGCAAGCGGGATTCGAACTCAAGGGCACTCACTTGTCATTCAGCTGGTTTTCAGAATCATTGTTACCTCTGGTTCCCTCCAACTTCCAGTTCTTCAGACTGGAGCAAGAAAGAACAAGCAGAGGCTCCATGTTCACAGAAGGGATTATGCAAAGGTTGTGTATGTGATTGTAACACGTAGCTCAGGGGTAGAGCATTAGCCTTGCAAGCAGAAGGTCCCAAGTTCAGTCCCCAGCATCTCCAGGTGGGGCTGGGACAAACGCCTACCTGAGCCCCTGGAGAGCTGCTGCCAGTCAGTGTATGCAGTACTGAGCAAGATGGACCAATGGTCTGGCTCGGTATAAGGGAGCTTCCTATGTTCCTCTTTCACCAGGACTTACTTGACAAATTCTGCTCACTCAGCATACAAAAGGGGTTCAATGGGTAATTAACCCAGCTACTCCCCAAAACCAGCAATTTAAATCCAGCCTTGAAATTGAATGGGAGCCAGAGGAAGCACAGGTGAAACAAGCGCAAACTTCCTATCCCACAATGCAGCAGAGCTCTTTTTATGCCCTGGGAGGAAACATGCACTTGGAGATGATGCCACTATGCCTTCTCCCCTGATGCAAGAAGTGCCTCAGCTAGGGTCTCCTTTGTTCAGAGCCAGCCCCCAACCCCAACTCCCTAAAGCAACACCTTCTTCAGCTAAAACAAAAGCATGGGACAAACATTTCTGATATGCATTTTCAGTAGGAAAGGCAAGCTCCAAGCCTCAGTTCAGAGGCTCTTCCCAAATTCCTTGTCCCGGGAGTGTTTGTTTTCTTACTCACCCTCTCCCATTGCCAGTCAGGGTGCTTGTTACACTGACGTCTTTGAGATCATTTACATAACCTTACAGCATTTGGGGTTTATAATCCATTTCCACCCTTTAAGCATGTATGAACCAGAGTGTTGTTCACCAACCCTAAGAGAAACTGTCACTCAGGACTTGTTCACATGGCTTCGTTTGTTCTTTTGAACAAACTGCAGCAGAGGCACCTTTTTCAATTTTCTGTCATGACATATGGAACTGCCCTGGGCTTGAAAGAGAGGGAGTTAAAATGACAAGGCAAAAATGGGGAATGATGAAAGAAAGAAAATGGCTACCTATGTGGATCAATGGTTCCCAAACCTTGGGGAGGGGGCCCTGCCTATAAAGTCATCCCCAGCGCCCCTCCCCCAATGAAAAGCATAATTCAGAATAGTGGTTTGCATGACCCTCTAAGGAAGATAATAACACAATAAAGTTCAAAAGAGTAACAATGCATTACCCATTTATTCAAAAAACCAGTTAAAACTATTTAGTTTAATTCATTCAACAAAATGTATGAACTTAATCTAGTGATACCATCTTTTTAAGTCTGGTAGTCAACTGCACAAACCTGCCACCTGCTTGGCCCTTCCTGGTACCCCCCCCCGGGGGGGGGCAGTACTGTCCAGTTGGGCTGCTCAGATAGCACACAACCCTTTCACTGGCTGCAAATGAGCGAATTCTTTCGGCAGCTGGATACTTGTGAGTCAGGGCCCCACTCCCTGCTTTGTGATGAAATAAAACTCATGGACACAAGTTAATGGGCTAAAAAAGGCCACAACTTTATTGCTTACAGAATGTGAGTGGTATTGGCTTAGGCATTGGATCCGAACCAACTATACTTGACTCCTGCCCGCTCTGCAGGGAGTCACACGAGGGTTAACAGCCTGCAGGGGGAGCTTGTTGGTGCAAATCAACTGGAAGCTTTCCCCGAGAGTCACCAGAGGGTGGTGCCATGGCCCTAGCCACCACCTGGGCATCAGACAGGAACCACAACCACCGGATTCCTTTAACGGAACACCCTTCAAAGGGAGGGGTAGGTGATGGCCACAACCTCGCCTCCGACACAACACATTTTCCAATGCCTAACCACCAAACCTTACAAAGTTGTGACAATTTGCAAAAAACCAAATGGCTGGTGCCAATCTGCCAAGTGGGGGGGGGGGGGAATCCTACCAGGCCCCTTGAACAGGAGACCAACCAAGGTCCATAGCAAGGTTAGGTGCAGAAGCGAAACCTAGAGGGAGGGAGGGCAGGTGATCCGAGGAAGCCGGAAGAAAACAAGGATGAGCTTGTGGGCCCGTGGCCGTTTAAATGCAGCTAAACCACGCCCCCCCAGCCAGCCAGATTGCAGAGTGATGCAGGGGGGGCCCGGCCACGCCCCCCTGCGAGTGTGGGAAGCAATTTCTGCTCACAACCCCTCCCCTCTGGGAAGAGGAGAGGCTTTCCTGGAAGTTCTCAGACTTCCATTTGGTTTGCAGCCAGCCACCATTTTGTTTTGCCCAGAAATAACAACGAATTCAACTGAGCTGAAATCTTAACTCCGGGGAGGGGGGACTGGATGCCCTCTAGATGCCACTGGACTGTTATGAGAGGTTTCTGTATCCAACCAAGTGCCATCCAGAAGAAAATCAGAGAAAACAAAATGGAGCAAATTAGGAAAGAGATAAGTACAAATGAGAAAGAACTGTAAAAAAAAAACCATAAACGAGACCACAAAACAAAATATCAAAATGTTGCAAACCAAATTCTCCATATTTTTAAACCATGAAATTGAACATAAATTAAAATGGTTAAAACAAAAGAGTTTCAAATTTGCTAACAAACTGAGTAGAATGCTGGCTTGGCAGTTAAAGAAGAAACAAAAAGAAAAGACAATAGGAAAACTCATAAAAGGAAGGAAAACAATTGATGAACCTGAGGAAATAAGCAAAAGTTTTACAAAATATTTTAAAGATCTCTACCAAGCAAGAAAGGAAGATGATGAGAAAATAGAAAAATACTTCAGTTAAAGTAAATTTCCAAAAATCACAAATGATAAAATTGAATATTTAAACTCTCCCATAAAAATGATGGAAATTCACCAAGCAATTACAAAGGCAAATCTAGAAAATCTCCCAGAACGGACAGACTCTTGGCAATTTACTATAAGAAGTTGGAAAATGTGCTTTCATCACCACTTAAGACATAAGATACTAAAGGAGGGGCTGATACCAGAGTCATGGCAAGAAGCATTCATAACGTTGATCCCAAACAAGGGAACGGATTTGACATCAATCAAAAACTATAGACCTATATCACTCTTGTACAATGATTATAAACGCTTTGCAGATGTGGTGGCAAACAGGTTAAAGAAAATATTGAAAGACCAATAAATGAAGACCAAGCCAGGTCTCTACTGGGTAAACAAATGAGCAACAACATGAGAATGGTGATCGATATTCTAGACTATTTAGAGATGAGACCCAGCAAGCAAGCAGCATTGATGTTTTTAGATGCTGAAAAAGCATTTGACAATGTTTTATGGAAATTTATGGAAAGAACTATAGAATCAATGGGGTTAGGGGAAATATTCAGAAGGGGAATAAGGCAATTTATAAGAACCAAAAAGCTAAATTGATTATAAATAATGAATTATCAGAGAGCTTCAAAATAAGGAAAAGAACCAGACAAGGTTGCCCACTCTCTCCATTATTGTTTACCACGGTTCTGGAATCACTGGTGACAATAAGAATGGACTCAGAAATAAAAGGGATTACACTAGGAAATAAATCCTTTAAGTTAAAAGCCTTTGTGAACGTTCTTATAATAACAACAGAAAATCCATTAGAAAGCGTACCAAAAACTCTGGAAAGAATGTATGAATTCGGTCAGATGTCAGGATTTAAATTGAACAAAAGCAAAACGAAATTGTTGGTAAAAAAATATGTGGGACCAAGAAAAGCAGGAATTACAAACAAAGTCTGGTTTGATGCTAACGGAAAAAACAGAATACCTAGGAATTTGGGTTTCAGCAAAAAACATCAATTTATTTAATGATAACTATAAGAAGATATGGAAAGAGATAAAAAAGATTTGGAAGTTTGGAACAAATTAAACC